AACCACACCCAGGTGAGCATGCTTACTTGATAACATGATCTAACATGATGGGACCCATGAGACCCTCAACCACACCCAGGTGAGCATGCTTACTTTATAACATGATCTAACATGATGGGGCCAGTGAGATCCTCAACCACACTCAGGTGAGCATGCTTACTTGATAACATGATCTAATATGATGGGGCCCATGAGACCCTCAACCACACCCAGGTGAGTATGCTTACTTGATAACATGATCTTACATGATGGGGGCAGTGAGATCTTCAATCGGTTTTTAAATTTGTCTTTTTTTTCCAGGTTTGTTACCAGTGCTGTGCATCATCTGACCCCCGGCTGGGTTGTGTGTCCATCGATTGTCCAGTTTTTCACAAACTAGTCAAAACAACACGTGACTTACAGTCACAGCAATACTTACGCCAGCTTTTACAAGATCTCAAAGTCAACTGATCTTAAATAATAGTCTAGGCACGGCTAAAATTGAAATTATCAAAATGGAATGTAAAAGTTATTTTGTAACTATGGATATTGTAACTCATGCGCTAAGCTCAGCTAACATGTGGCAGGTGCGCGGTGGTTTTCGGTTACTTTGTTCAGATATTTTCTTCGCTTTTGTGAACTAAGAACATTAAAAGGCAATTCCTAGAGGACTCTTAAAGCACGCGAAATACATGGCTTCGTCTTAGTTAATTGCTTGTAACACAACTAGTGTAGTATTCTTCGTTTGGGCGTTACGTCATCGCGGCCATGTTGATACCATTTAACAGAAGTTTTCTCATTAGCATCCATTGTTAACGGTACCACAATGGCCTCCATGTTTTTATCTTTTGACTCTCTTGGGAATGCTTGCAACCCATCAATTCATCAAAGTAAAGAAAGTGCGCGGTTATTATCAATAAATATCATCATCGTCATCATTATTGGTATTGAGTTTTCAACTCATTAAAACTTAAGAATTAAAGTAAACTTGCCTATACAAGTTTGCCTTCATTGGTTTACTCCGATGAAGGACTAACGTCCGAAACGTCAGTTTCATTTTTACATACCATACGGTGTTACAAATTCTCTATCTATCAACTGTTTTACTGAAAACACCGACGCAGTTTACACTAGTTTTCACTAGTTTTCCACCTTATTCATTGCCTATACAAGAGTTTCTTTTTTCCTGATATATTAGCTATAAGACCACCATTGTTTCTTCTCACGTGGTGCACATGGAAACGCAGTAACGTTTGTATCAAGAACGCGGGCATTTTGTATCAAGAACGCGAGCATTTTGTATCAAGAACGCGAGCAKTTTGTATCAAGAACGCGGGCATTTTGTATCAAGAACGCGGGCATTTTGTATCAAGAATGCTGGCATTTTGTATCAAGAACGCGGGCATTTAGAAATGATTGGGATCAACATAAGTTTTTCTTGTTTGTTCTTCGTTCTTTGTCCTTTTTGTTCTGTTTTGTTTTTTGCTTTTGCTTTTGCTTTCATCAGTAATAGTTCTTTTTTACAAAAGTCATAACTCATAACTGATCAGAGGGCCACAGGTTTGTTAGCATATTGCTATTTAGTGCTACCTTCAGTAAATAAAGAGTTTGTTATTATTATTAACTCTGGAAATACCCTACTAGTTATTAGTGTCATACGCGAGGAAATATCTGCTAACACGTGGTTGACTCGAAATACAAAAGAAAACTAGGTATTGGAAGGGTTTATAAAATATGAAAAAATTAACCTTGAATGCTGTATCAGGAACTTAAAAGAAGGAGAAAATATAGAAATATATATTTAAAAAAAACATTTGTTCGTTAGGTAAGTTCCATTGCAAGGACAGAAAAGCAATGAATTCTACTTCCGGTGCCTTCAAAAAAAAATGCACCAAAACGAGGTTCCGGAAGTGGCTTGTAATCGCGCGCGTTGATTGGCTGACGGCAAGGACGATAAAAACATTACAAAATCTACCTACGAGAAGATAGACGCCATTTTGAGTTTTACAGAAGGAAATTGTCCTGTACTATCCAAACCATCCTGATAGAACCGCTAGCGTTTTACGTTATTGAACTGCAATTTACTTGAAAGAAAAGACTTATCTAGTGGCTCTTTATTCTATTTTCCTTTTAACTTGCCTTAACTACCAAAAAATGGCTTGTGCAACTTTGAAACGGTCATTTGAATTTGACCCATTACTCAGCCCACAACATCAACCTTCTCCTAAAAGACGGCGTTGTGTCCCGATGTCTACTTCCACATCGTGTCAGAGCCCAAGCCAGTCAAGTAAAGAGTCGCCTTTTACTGATGTTACTCCAAGAATTACACAAGGTATGTTTTTAAGGCTTTTGTTACTCTTGTGGGTAAACGGTCAGGCAAGGCTTTTGTTGCTTTGAAATCTCTTCGTGGTCTTAATCAGTTTTTTAAAGTATTCTTTTCATTTGGATTTGAAATCTCGTGCTTAAGAGTGTTTTCTTCGATATGATAACCGCTTATGTTTCATCTTAGGTTCGGTTTTCAGTACAACTCCTTTTTGTGGTCGAGTTTTAAATTAATATAAACAATCTATTGCGAGGTTTCTCCCTTTAGAGAGTTAATTAACATTTAAGAGATTATCAAATCTAAGGCAGTAGTATGCTTGTTTGATTCTAGGATTGCAAATGTGTTGGTTTGTCAGTACAAACATTAGATTTTTTTGGATTTTGGTTTCTTTGAGAAATAAGTTATTCTCTCAATAATTGTTATTTAAAATTCTATATGAAAAGTAGATCAGGTTTAGCTATGACAAAATGGGTAACAATACACCTAGAACATTACTCATCTATATAAATCACTTGCTTTGTGGACCAGACTTTTTATTATTTTTAAGATTTTCACAGTTCTAGGAATTTATTACATATTTAAAAACATAAATATTTAGTAATTACCAAATGAAGTTGAGTAAAATATAATGAATTGATTGTGGGAAGCAAGCAATTTTATGCCAAAGGACGAGGCAAATAATTGCTTGTGAGACACTCAATATTTTGTGATAATTGAGTTCAATTGTATTATCATTGAAATTATTTTTTCCATTTTCTTTTTGCATTTTGGCTGTTTTTGCTGTCTGTTAATCATATGAGTCACAGGGAAGCAAGCTTTGTTGACAAATGCATTGTTACTGTGCAGGGTATTATTTCCAGCTAAACAGTTGGAATATAGGTAGTTATTTGCAGTTATCTCAGCCAATCAAAGCGATGGAAAAAATATGATAATAAAAGTAATTTACTTTTCTATCCCATGTTAAATAAAGTATCACTCAGTGAATTTGGACTTGCCTGAATGCATTTCACAGTTTAAAAAACACATTTTCAATAGATTTATGTTAAGGAGGATTGATTTGTTAGCTTTACAAAAACCTGGGAATATTTTTGTTTCAACAAACACAAATGAAATAGTTGTTGACCAAAAATACTTAATAAAATGTAAATTGGCTAAAAAAAAAGGTAAATGTTAAAACTATGTGATGTTCATGATGCTGTGTTATTTAAAAGAATGTAAGAATAAGATGTATTCTTTACTTTAACAGAACAACTGTCTACAAATATTCATCTTGAGTGGAAACGATTACAGCGACGCAAGCATCTCAAGGCACCAACTTGCAACTCTGTTGAAGCAATGAATACAGTACTATCATCTCCTGGATCTTCACCCACAAGAAAAGATCAACCATTGTTTACATTAAAACAAGTTTCCCTTATTTGTGAAAGACTCCTAAAAGAAAGGGATACTCAGTTAAAAGAGCAATATGATAAAGTATTGAACACTAAACTATCAGGTATGTGCTCTATTAAACTCTGGTTGTTATATCCAACTAGATAAAACCCTAACATTAAGTTAGAATAATTTAGATATTGGTTTTTGAAGCAAGAAAAACCGGAGCATGACCCTTGAAGCAAGGGAGAGAACTATTCAAAAACTCTACTCTAATACAACATCAAACCCAGGAATCAAACCTGGTTCACATTGGGGAAAGGCTCCTGCCACCTGTTCTTCTCACTCTACACTCTTTTCACTTACTACATTTGTTTCACCTTTTGGGTGCTAGCTGTAGAATGGTAGAAATTGTGTTGGATTATGTTACGGTCACCAAGAAGTTCAGACTTTGTTCTAGGATATTCTATACAATTGAATTTAAGCAAATTATTCACTTTGTTTGTTTAGTTAGCTCTCTAAGTACAAGCAAATATTGAACACAATGCGACATGATTTAAACCATATGATGGCTAGCACTCGAAAGGGGAATTTATTATGTGAAACTAACATGTTCAATGAAAAACTATGTTGTAGTTTTCAATGTTGTTTTCTCACATTTCTTTGCCAAACAGGCTGTATGCAAAGTGATCGGTACATGTAATAACCTGTATATTAAAGGAATATAGTCAGGTCTAGAGTTAACTTTATTTGATAATCATTGATATCCACAGAGCAATATGATGCCTTTGTTAAATTCAACTATGACCAGGTTCAACGAAGATTTGAAAAAACAGCCCCAACATGTAAGTACCGTACAGATCTATGAAAGCCGCTAAGCAATTAATGCACTGTTTGTTCTCATTTTTTGAAACAACTAATGTAACAATAATAATGGATATACATATGGTTCATATCTTGAAGTTCATTAAAAGGAAAATAAATTAATAATCATAAGAACAAAGTTTTTAATGTAAAAACATTTCCAGACCCCTACCCAATAGCATTCATATTTTTCAGGTACCCCCTTCAATCGTTTAAAAAATCCTCCTTTTGTCCTTTCAAAGCCCCTCATCTTCCACTAAAAAAAATTGAGGGCCTCCCATTTTCTCTTCCCCCCCCCCCCCCCTCCTCCTACTTAAATAATAACTGGTCCCATATGCATCTGTGGAGGGAAGGGGCTAAGGAATGATAGGAGAAGATCAAAGTAGTTTAAGCTGGCCGTTAAAACCCTGCAAACTCATTTACCAACAGAGTCGTTACTTTTTTTAGGCTTTAAAACAGTCTATCATGAAATTACCTGTAAATATTGTTGCGCTAAGGCAAGAGGAAGATGGCAGTTAAGCACTTTGTTGATTACTAACAGCCGCTTTTTGTCTTTTTAGATGTATCCTGAAAAAGATTGCAAGAGCTCTAAGTTTGATGTTGTAGCACACATGTTTACTTTTTATGGCTCCAATACATACTTGTGTTATTACTGGAAGTATGAACAATGTAATCGATAAATAACATGTACCACACCCACCTTCATGTACCTATTGTCCTACCAATTGTTGTTTGTGTCAATCCTCTTTTATGTACGTAACATATTATACAGTTTTACTCTTTTTGTTAGCAATCTTTATTGAATTTGTAAAAAAAAAATAATGTTAATTAAGTATATTGATGTAAGAGAGAAAAGACAATTTGATGGAGTGAAGTGTACGATTCCATATAACCTGTCTGTAGTTTTAGTAGCATGATAGAATAGGATTCTTTTTTCATACCTTGTTGCACAGGTTCAATTGAAATCCTAAACACTTAACAGAACAATGTAAATATAATACTTTTATTAAGATGCAAGAGATAGGAGTTTATTTCTGTTCCATGTTACCCTAATTTTACCTGGTTAAATAGTTTTCTATCTCAGCAAAAGTTGTCATGTATTCCTTAAATTGACTTGCTAAGAAACTAATTTGGCCTCATTCAATAGATGACAGTTTAGCCTTGTTTAAAAAATGTTTTTGCTCATATTGATCTAGCTGTAAAATTGAGAAAAAATCTGCGGTTATTAAAGTTTACAATGGATTAAAAAGATTGAGTTGTCTTTTTTTTCGTACAGAGGGCTCACATTTATTTTATTTAGCATTAGGGGAAAACAGTGCCAACTTTTTTGTTTCCTGTTGTTTCATGTTATTTAGTAGAGTGCAAACAATTTATCCGTGAAACACTGTTTACTCAATTGTTCAAAATAGACCTAGTGCTAAACAAAAGAAAACAATAGAATTAGCATAGAATAGTGTAAGTTAGTATTACTAATATTTCAAGGATACGCTCAATATTGAAGAATCGTTGTCAGGTTCAGAAACATGGAACATAGAAGCTGAGACCGAAATGGCACATGGGAAGTATGTTAATTAGATGCATATATATTGTGACCTGCGACCAGTGGCATCATCCACTGTCTACTAGTACGCGTTTGGCATTCTAAAACGACTGCATGGATGGCACAAATGAATATTTCCCATGTGCAGTTTCAGTCTCAGCTTTTATGTTCTATGTTTCTGAACCCAACAACAATTCTTCAATTGAGTGTATATTGTTTGCACTCTATAAAATGGGGCTACACAACGCTCGACTAACATGTTGATTTTTACGGAGGGAGGAACCTGGAGAAAAACCCTTGTGGCAAAGGAGAGAACAACACATTGAACAAACTCAATTCACATGTAGCGACCGCAGGGTTCGGAACAGTAACCAAGCCACTGAGTTGGGAGCGGTGAAAGACGACACATTAGCAGTGCCACCCATAGCAACTATTGATATATAACCATGTGTTTGTGAAACAATTACTGGAGTAATTTTAAAGTAGTATAGGGGATGGGGGTTCCAGCGCAACGACCACCGGAGGATTACCCGTCTAA